TAAAAGCCGCTAAAGAAAAGAAACAGATCACATTTAAAGGAAAACCCATCAGAATAATGGCAGATTTTTCTTCACAAACCATCAAGTCAAGAATAAGTAGCAGTGGCACAGGAAGGGAGGACATGAGGCAGGCAGGAGGGTGGGGTGCGCAGAGCCTCCCAGGTCAGGCCTGGCCTTTTGCCCCCACCTTGCTGCGGGCTGAGGACACTCTGCGCCTTCCCTGCGCCTCCTGCTCACTTGTTGCTTTCTTTGGGAGAAGGTGAACTTGGCTCCTGGGCCCATGTGACAGTCCTGGGCCTGCATCCCCATCCTTGCGTTGTTGCAGGTGCTGCTTGGATGTTCCAGGTACGAGGCTTTTATCCGAGTATATAAATATTCTCTCCCTCCCATGCTCTGTCTTCACTTTCTTTGTGTTTGTCTTCTTTAGCTGGGGAGCTGGAAGAGCCCTGAGGACCTGTCCTCCCTGTCTGAGCCTCCTGGGGCCCTGGAAAGCACAGGGATAGAGCAGGAAGGACATGCAGAAACAGGGATCGAGGCCCGCGCAACGAGGAGCCAGGCCTCTGCGCGCAGTTGGCGCTCAGCCAGCGCCTGTTGGACGCCGGCTTCTCCCCAGGCCCCCACTTCTGCTCCCCTGCATGGTTCACCGCTCTGAGGTCCACCTGCCCCCGCACTCTGCCTCACAGTAATCCCCAGCTTCTGCACTGCCCACCTCCTTGCCCCAAGTCCTTCTGTACAGAGCTGTTCTGTGAGCAGCTGTGGAGATGGGTTAGGGTCAGCAGAGCGTCACTGGCTGACCATGGCTGGGGCCCAAGTCCACGCACTCAGTTCTGCCCTTTCCCAGGTTCCTCGCAAGGCCTTCGCCTGGGGAGCTCTGCCCTACAACATGGCTTAAGCCACTGGGTTCTGAATCAGTCAAGGTGCTCCAGCTCTGAGCCTGGAGACAACATGTTGAACTCACTTGGGTTTCAGTCTCCTCGTCTGTAAAATGGGGATGACAGAAGTGCTGTACTTCAGACAGTTCCACGCAGTGCCTGGCCCTGGGCACGTGCTCTTGCAGGGGTCACCACAGTCCTGTCTCTTGTCTTCTGCAAGAAGCTTCTAGATCTGCTCATTTTTAAATGTAGATGGAGCTGCAGCTCCATGCAGATCCACCATTGGATACAAGTTTAGGGCTTTTAAAATGGACAAGGAAATTCATACGACCCAGCTAAGACAAACTTCAAAAGAAAAAGTTGGAGGGAAGTTTCCGACACAGAGGTTTTACCTTGTGGAACTTCAGCAGGGAGGCAAAAAAGTGAGTCCACAGACAAAAGCTAGTTTACGGGTCAGGGTGCAGAAGGCGCAGAAGGGTAAGGGAGATGGGGCTGGGGAGGAGGGGGCGAGGGGGAGGGACACGCTCTAGAGACCCCCTCAGAGGTGTGACCCCAAGAAGGCAGCAGGACAGAGAGGACAGTGAGTGCAGACACCAAAGTAGAGATGGAAGACCAGAGCAACAGGAGATGCAGGCAGCTGGGAAAAGGGCAGAGGCAGCATCCAGGGACAGAAGTGTCTCTTGTTTTATGAAGGCTGGATTCTAGGCTCCTCCTGGAGTGTCTTCCAAGCAGGAAGTCGGTGGAGGGAGTCATTCACCTGCGCAGTTTCACAGAGTCCTCTCCAGGCCACGTGCACTGGCGCTGCCTCCCACTCTGTGACTGAGACTCCCTTTGAGCTGGGCCCTTCAGTACTGGTTCTGCTTCCTTTCGCTTCCTTGATGGTCTCCTTTGTAACAAGGCACTTTTTGATTAAGCGCAATTTAAAATTTCTTTTGTTGCTTGCGCTTTTGGTCGTACATCTAAGAAGCCATCACCTGACCCAAAATCATGAAGATTCATGTCCACACTTTCTTCTGAGAGTCTTAGAACTTTCGCTCTTACTCGCAGGTTTACTATGTGTTCTTTGCATGGGACAAGAGGCAGGGCTCCACCTTCAGCCCTTTGTCATTGGCTGTCCAGCTATCGCAGCACCATTTGTTGGAAAGATTACTTGTGCATGGAGCTGTCCTCACCCCTCTGTTAAAAGTCAGCTGCCTGTCAGTGTAAGGCTTGCTTCTGGACCTGAGTTGTGTTCCACTGAGCTGTCTCCCCTGGTGCCGGAACCATGCTGTCTTGATTGCTACGATGTCATGCTAAGGTGGGAAATGACTTTCCTGACTTTTAGTTTAGCTGGGGCCCTAGACTCTCCATGTGTATTTTAAGATCAGTGCATTAATTTCTGCAAAGTAGCCAGTTGGAATTTTAATGAGAACTGCACTGAATCCGTGGGTCACTTTGGGGAAGATTCTCATCTTAGCAATGTTATTTGCAGCCCACGAACATGAAATGTCTTCCCATTTACTTAGGTCTTCTTTAAAACTTCTCCACAATGCTTTTGCAATATTCAGAGAAGTCTTATACCTCTGTTGTGTTGAAGAACTTATGGGAACACTTCCTATGGCGTGGGGAGGGCAGCAGGCCGATGGTGGTGGTTTGAGATGGTGGTGGGTGACAGAGGACTCTTTTAAGGAGCTTGGCGGGGGAATGAATGGGATGTGTGGGGTGCACAGCTGAGCTGCCCGAAGACTTTGGAGGACCTATCCAAGGGCCCCCGAGGGGCTGGGCTGAGATTCCACCAGGGTCCACACACCTACAGGGAACCAGCTTGCCCCTACAGTGCCATTGCCATAGGGATGGTGCAGTTTTCAGCCCTTCTGAGCAGAAGATGACATTGCTCCATGCATGTCCTGCATGCAGTTCATGGACACTTAAAATGAATTAGTCTATTTGGATGACAAATGTTGATCCTGAGCTGCATCCTGTGTGACAGCCTTGCAATTGGTGAGGTGCAGCCCCATCAGCAGGAACAGGAACAGGAGGCGTGGCTGCCCTGTCAGCAGCTCCCCTCCACGTGACACCACTACTCCAGCTCAGAGCCATCCCCACTGCACACTCATCCATCATGCTGGGGATGTCCCCACGATCGCCTGGCAGCCTCCGCACCCACCACCCCACGGCCCTGCCAGCCCCTCACAACTGTATTACTGTGGGCAGCTTCCAGTTATTGCCCAGCATTCACTCAACAAGGGCAATTTGCTTTTCTGCAGATAATGCCACCAAACAACTGCCACAGCCAGCACCAGGAAGGCCTGTGATTACCCTGTGGTGACACTGCAGCAGTTCAGGGAAGGGCCTGGCCAGAGAAGTAATGGTGCAGAAAATGCAGGTGTAGGCTGCTTTGTCTTGGCCTTGCTGTTCCCCGCCTTCATCCTAGACATAAAGGCAGACAGGCTGCGCAGCAGCCCAGCAGGGCAAAGCTCCTTCCAGAGGTAGGGAATGAAGGCAGGGCCAGCACAGGCCTAACTAGGGCAGGCCAATGCTTATGAAGGTGGCAGTGGGTGGGGGTGGGCACCCCTGCATTCTCAGGTGGGAGCGTTTCTCGAGGGATGATGGGAGGAGGACAAGGAGCAGGAGGTGAGCAGGAGGGTGCAGAGTTCGCGACTGGCCTGAGGACCTTCTGAAAAGCACTGCTCAGGAGAGGCTCAGAGGGGACCTGCGGTCAAAGCTGTGGTGGGGCACATGCAAGGAGGATTGGCCCCATGGCCAAGGGGAGAACCAGGATGTGCTCAGCATCCTCTAGGCTGGCTCTGCCTTTGGAGTCCCAGCACACACTGCTGGCACCTCGGCCCTGTTAGGAAGAGAGCAGAACCAGGCACTCAGAGTGCTGCAGTGAGCACACCGCCTCTGTGCCCAGCTGTGGCGGTCCCAGGTGTCAGGGCCTCCTGTCCCCACAGGCAAGGCTCCAGCTTGGAGCCACGGTGGCCGGCATGTCACTGGTCATGACCATGGGAGCGCCCCATGGGTCACCCAGGAGGGTTCAATCTGGAGGCCCCGGAGCTGGAGTCGCACACTGCGATTTAGAATTTCTTACTGGAGGGATGCTCCTGGGATTGGGCAAATCAAGCAGGTGCTGTGGCTGTGTGTGTGGGGGGAGGAACAGCACCCAGGCTCCCTGGTTTCTCTGCTTCTTGAACCTCGTGTTCAGGAGGATGTGGGGACACCTGGAATGGCATCTGAGGTGGGTGGGAGAAAGGCTGCCGAGTTCTGGGGAGCAAGCTGTGCAGCCCAGGGCTTGGCAACCCTTCTTCCCAGGTCCTTGCTGCCCCTTGACTCGCTGCTGCCCTCTGCTGTTCCTGCTGCTGAGGAGCTCAGGCCACCCTCAGGGGACTCTGGGGTCTGGGAAGAGGACAGAACAGGCCCAGGCCCTGGAGTTGCAGGAAGGCAACAGGAGCCCTGGTTCTGCTCCCCTGAGCTTACCCAGCGAGCCCCTTCCACGGTGAGACGGAGTGGGACTGCTAACCTCTCCTGTAGGGCGGTGCTGGCCAGGCTGGCCAGGTGGGACACGACCCCTCTCGCAACCTTCCCCTCATCCATGGCTCAGGCCTATGGCCTTGGGGAGGTCCGGGCCTGGGAACCTTTCCTCTTATGTGGCCCAGGTGTCTGCAATTTGCATTGCTCTGTGCAGAGGACCTCAGCATGGCCATGGGTGGGTCCTTCATGCAGAATGATCGCAGTAAATGTCCCCTTTGCCCACAGAGAGCTGGGCTCTGGAAAGCCCCGATGTGCGTCAGGAATAAACCAAAGGGGACTGCATGTGTGTGCACCCAAGAGAAGACCATTGGGACAGGAGCTGAGGCAGGGAGGGCCTGGGGGCGAGGGCTGTCAGCATCACCTTGCTGCCCCTTTGTCGCTGCCCCCCCAGTGAGCTGCCTTGCGAGGGCTTCCTGTGTGTGGCCACTCGGATCCGGACCTGGGATCCGGCTCTGGCTCTCCTGCCTTTTTACTTCCGCCTCAGTGTAGCGGCCAGCAGAGGGAGCTAAGCGCTAGGCTCCCAGATTAAATAATAAATGAGCTCTCCTAAGAGTTCCTCAAATGACAGAGCAATCAAGGCTCATTTGGAGAAGAAAGGAACGAGCTTTCATTCTCCCTCCAAATCATCTCTACCTGCTAGAGATGATGTATAATACATAAAGATCAAAAGTGATTAAAATCCTTATGAACTTAATCAGAAATTCAGTTAACCACTATTTGCTTTGGTCCAAATTGATGTGGAATAACAATCGTGTGTATCTGCAATTTTTTTTAACTTGTGAGAAATTGCTTGTGATTTGTGTGTGGGGAGGTGTCAGGGAAGGGGACGCTGAATGGAGAGAAAAGGAGGAAGGAAGCCATTGAAGGGGCTCCCGGGGCCCCCCAGGCTGCACTCAGCAATTCTGTTGATGCTCTTTGTTCATAAATGTCAGGTCTTTGGCTATGTATTATGATGAACAATAGGAAACCTTAATAATAACTCGCTGTGTGCCTGGGCTGTGACAGAGCAGAGCTCCCAAAATGGTTTATTCTCTTTGAATTGTATGTTTGGGGTGAAAAACATCTTCCCTCCTGCTTTCTTCCCTGTTTTCTTTCATTTTCTTCTAAATTATGCCTCCTAAGATCAGATCCTGATCCTTTCAAATGCCTGTGTGTGCACACACACACACACACACACACACACAGAGAGAGAGAGAGAGAGAGAGAGAGAGAGAGACAGACAGACAGACAGACAGACAGACAGACAGGCAGGCAGGCAGGCAGGCAGGTAGGCAGGCAGGCGGGCAGGCAGAGACCACTGCAGGAGATTTAAAAGCCCTGTCTCCTTTTTGCATTGAAAAGACAAGACTTTCTCAAAAAAGCAGAGATGATGCTGTGTGTTGGGGCTCCCTTGGAGGAAGGAATGGTCAAAGAAAGAGGCGAGGGAGACATGCTCACCTGCTTTTCAGCGTTGGGTACTTTTTTGTAGAAGGTTTTCTCTGTGTCTTCAATCCAAACCACGGATGGCTGAAGCTGTCGAGCCACCTGCCGAGAGAGCACAGCTGAGGTGACAAGTGAGTGGGACATGAAGACAGCAGGGCTTTGAGGTGCCCAGGCCCTGTGCCACCCCAGCACCCCTCTGCACCCCCGATTCCTGCACCTGTGTCTCCCTGCACCCCTGGGGCCTATCCTGAGGCACATACAATCTGCTTTAGGATCATGAGCCCTTTTGGCTTCCAATAAACCAGGTACTGTCTGCTGCAGAGGAATGGGATCCGGGCCATAAGTTTTAATCACAGCCTACTTGCCTTCCACAGATTTATTCAAGTTTGTTATCCAACACAAGGGCCCCGCCAAGCCATTTGTTTGGCTGTGCTTTTGTGGCTAAGGCTCCCCAGGGAAGGCTCTGAGCCCCTCCAGGGTGAGCAGGGCTTTGTGCTAGAGTTGGGAGGGGCCTTTGCATGCTCTGTGAATAATTGCCACACACCTAACAATCTCTTCAAAGCACCCCCATGAGTACAAAGTTCAGGTATTTTTGCAACAATTTGTGCTTTGTGCAAAATTGAGACAGATGAAAGCAGTTTCAACCACATATGTACTCCTATTTATGTATTTCTTAAAGCATCATTAAGGCAGCAGGTATGACTTTAAACCAAGACAGTTATTCAGCGAGTGGTGAGAGAGTCGCTAGGGACACCCTGGCTGTGTCTGTTTCTCCAACATTATGTGCCAAGCAGCAAGTCAGTGCTGGAAACAGCTTAGTGTGGACAGCGGCAGAGCCTGATCCTTGGGCAGCCTGATGCTGGGCAGGTGCATTCCTGGCCAGGACACTCAGAGAGAGAGAGAACAGCACTCACCATGCTTCACCAGGGAGCCGACACAGTTTTAGACTGAGAGCCACAAAGCCTAAGAGTTTGCAACCCTTGGTCTAAGTCCCAGCCCCCAGGCATTGCAGGTGGTGCCTGCCAGGAATGCCAGCAGCTAGTGACCTGGCAGAGTGTGCTGGGGTCGGGCACAGGCATGGCACGGTAGAGCTGGAAGGTGCCTGCACAGCCTCCTTCCTGGGTTTTCCTAACATGTGAAAACTCAGTCACTGAGGAGTGTGTGCCACTGCTGTTACTGTGCTACAGATGGGGACCCAGAGAGCTGAAAATGCCATGGGTTGCCAGGGCCACACGTCTGTGAAGCAGCAGAAGCAAGATAGAAGGCCAGGCTGGTGGGTGCAGCAGAGGCTACATGCACGATCCTCTCTTCTCCTCCATGAACACAGATGACAGCAGGCATCTTTCTGTCCCAGAAAGAACCCAGGCCTTGAAGCTGTGAGTCAGCGGGCTCAGACCCAAGCCCTGTGTGCTGATTCTTGCTCCTTTCTTCATGGGCTATCACTCCTCCAACCCCCTGCCCATCCGCTCCTGGGCTTGCTGAATCTGGGGTGGCCTGCACTGTGGCCTGACTGCTGTGAGTTAGATTTTGGCATGAGAGTCTGAGTAGCTGTTGCTTTGAAGATGGACAGAGCAGAAGACCACCCCAATGCCATTGGACTGTGGTGCTGAGCTGCGGGGCCAAACCCTCGGTGCCTGTTTGCATGCTGAGTCTGCTCTCCACACTCAAGCAAGGTTGTGGCCAGCACTCCCTGGTGCTGCCTCCAGGGTGCTGTCTGCACGGTTTCCTAGGGGAAGGTGATGTTGGTAGCATAGGCTCACAATCTCTGAATAACCAATGGCCACAGCTTTTATCAAACAAGATGGACAAAGGCTGCAGCAGGAAGGAGTGCCTCTTGTTTCCTCCCTCCCTCCCTCCCTCCTTTATGAGCCTTTATTTAGTAAAATTAGCTGTTATGTCAAAGCAACTTGTTCAGTGGAGCCCTAGCTTATGTGTGCTGCCATTCTCCGAGGAGGCCCTGGAGAGACATGCAGATCACGAGGAGACTCGGGCTGCAGATTGCGAGCTCCAGTTGTGATCACGAGCCCAGAGAGGCGCACAGGAGGGAACATGCACCTGCCCATCACCTGGAGCCCATCTGAGGGAACTGTGCGTAGGCATTGGGCTTCCAGCTACAGCACGGAGGACAGGGAGAGGTGTGGACATGGGTGCTGCCTGCGTGTGGCAGCGCAGCCACTCCTGGGATCCCTGTTCTGGTGCTTCTGGGTGGTGTTGGTCACAGATTATGCTCATAATTCACAGGAGGCAGACGCTGTGTGCCAGGTGCAGGGCAGCGTGAACAAGGCGGCAGGTGCTGGGCACCCAGACAAGGACCCTCCTGTATAGGCTGTCGCTGAGACTAGCCCTGGGCAGCCTAGAGCAAAGGGCTGCTGTCCAGCCTCAGTGGTATTTGTGTTCCCCCCTGGGGCTTATGCACAGCCAAGGCCAGAATCTGCAGCCTCAGTCCTCCTGCTTGGACACACCTGACTGGCCTCTCATCCAGCATCCCTGCTCTGCTCTCCTGCAGCTCAACTCCACCTGGGGCTCCTCTCTGGCTCCCCAGGAACTTCCATTAGCTTCTGTGCTCATGAGGCCCCACCGTCCTCAGGACCACTTCCCAGTGTGGTGCCTGCCTTCTGGAAGCTTCTGGATTCAACGCAGGCCAAAACTGGTTTCCCCTTCTCCAACTCACAGTCTTGCCTTCTGCCAGTTCCCTGTGTCTGGCCATCCACCTCATAGGCGTGGGTGTCACCCTGGCATCCCCACCTACTGCTGGTTCTGCCTTCCAGCACCGCTCAGGGTCCACCTTCCATCCAACATGGCTCCTGCTGCCGTCACAGGGCCCTTGTGGAAGTGGGCTCCTTGGACCCTCCTTGCTAAGAGCTGCTTGGGCCTAAAGTCGAAAGGGAACTCCTCCTAGTCCTTAAAGTAAACAAGACAATGCAATGTGATATGCAGAAGGCTTAAGCTTCTTAGGAGAAAGACAACGCAGAGCAACAGAGGCCAACGTCTTCTTTCCTTCCACACTTACCCAGCTTCTACTGAGGCCACTGGGCCAGCCTTTCTCACATCAAGGCTGCGTTTCAGGCTGCCTTGTATTCTTGCCAAAGCAGGGTCCACTCCTCTCCTGTGTCCAGCTGGCAAGCACCGGCTCTCCCCTAGCTTCCACTTATGCACTTTGGGTCTCTGGTCCCACTTAAGGGAGTCACAGACACAAGCACGTTGGTGTTGCCCTTCTCTTCCTAGAGCTGAGTAAAATGCACATGGACATGGAACACAAGAGACGCAAAGCTTGGGCCTGGCCTGAGATCCACAGGTCTACTTCCAGCTCCTGGGCATGGCCGGTGGACTTCTGGCTGCAGCATTCTGTTGAGTGCAGAAGTTACCTATTCCTTTAGCTTGCCTGCTTCTTTGGCTTTCCCTGGAGAATTCCATGCTTCCTGCATTTCTTAGCACCGACTGCAAAAGGATTCCTTTCCCAGGCTGTTCACCTGCTCTGGGGACACACAGGCTGGGGTCACACAGGCTGGGGGAGCCCTTTGGAAGGGCTCAACTATTGCAGCATGAAACAAAGCATTTCCCAAGAGAGGTCTTTGACAATGACAGCAGAGTGCAAGGCAACACTGCTAGCCTTACTGGCCACAGGCTGCCTCTCACGGTGAGGTTAGCGAGACGGAGCAACCTGGGAGGGTTGGCCACGCACCTGGGGAAGCAGGGTGAGCCTGGCCCGCAAGCTGTGCTGCTAAGTGGGCACTGCAGCACTGCTGCCATGGAACATAAGACGCCTGGCCTGGGGTGTCTGGACCTGGACTGTGTCATGCTCTTCTCCTGCCAATAGGGAGATCACAGAACCTTGCCCTCCTGTCCTCCAGAGCGCTGGTCTCTGGAGAGTTCTCCCACCCCTCCCTGGGGCTCTGAGTGGTCAGGGGACTCCTGGTGACCACATTCAGTCCTGGGAGGACATGAGGGGGTATGTGGAACTGCTTCCAGGGAGGGACCCGAGGAGGTGAGGCTGCTCTCCCTGGGGACGGAGACACTCAGTGTGAAATGCTGGCTGCTAATGTTCAAGAGACTAGTGGGGAGGGAGGAGGGGCCCAGACGCTTCTGGGCTGGAGTGTAGAACGAGGCTCCTCTCCCACTCTTTCTTCAGAAAACAAGAGCAGAGGAGTGTGGAGGTGCCAGGCACAAGGAGCTGCACGGAGGCTGAACTCCAGGGGCTCACCATGGGTGATGGGTACCAGCACAGTCCGCTAGTGATGGCAAGGGAGGCGCGGCCAGGGTGACTGGGAGACCTGAGGGGGTATGAGGGCTTCTCAGAGGTGGCTAGAGTGTGCAGTGCTGGGGTCAAGGGCACGTAATTCCTAACTCAGTCCGCCGACTGGCTTGCACAGCTCTGGGTAGGTAAGGGTGCCCCTCTCTGGGTGTGGGCGCTGCCTATGTGTGCAGCTTGGGTGAGACATAAGGCATGCAGGGTGCAGCAGGGTGTTTCACTGCCTCTCGCTCTGCTGCCTGCTCACCCCCTCTGCCAGGCCCCCCTGCCAGCTGACTACAAACGGAAAGTTCTGTGTGCTGTGAGCTCGGGGGACCTTTCCTCCTTCGACTTTGGGCATCAGGTATTTTGTCTCAGCCACAAGAACAGTAACAAAGGCAGGAGGGCACAGCCACATGCCCTCCAAGGTCTCCAGAAGGTCCTGGCATGGGAGGATGAGCTGCATGTGGAGATAGGAGGAGGGAATGGGGCACCTCATGCAGGGGCATGTGGAAAGACCAGGGAGGCTGTAGCCATGCTGTGGCATCTCAGAAGCCATGGGGAATCGGGGAAGACTTGAATCAGAAAGTCTGAGCCCATCTGTGACACACAGGCCTGTCCAGTGACCATGCAGGCTTGCCACCGGCTGAGGATGGTGCAATGCCCAGGCGATGGCAGCCAGAAGCTTCTGACAGGGACATGAGGTTGAGCAGGTGGTATGGGGGGCAGAGGGTGGAGTGAGGACAGAATCGGCCAGGCGTGGTGGGATCTGGCAGCAGGATGCCTGGAGGAGGGGGATGGTGGTCCGAGGAGGGCACAGGATGAGGAGTGAGTGCTGGGCTCTGCTGAGGGCACCTCAAGCCTGAGGACAGTG